CCTTTTTAGGACTAATTATACTTTGATGGAGTTTAAGTGATGACATTTCAGGTCCTAGAGTGAACAAAGGCTCAAGAATAACAAATATCACACTTGAGTGTAACACCAGTGCATAAGGGAACAAAATTGGAGAATGATGGAACTTGAGTACCATGTTCGAACGCCAACTCACGTTTGAACGTTTACTTGAACTATGAGGAGACTAGACTGCTGAGACATGGCATGTTGCAAGCAGTACAGAAGACTCTGAGGTACTTGAGTACCATGTTCGAACACCAACTCATATTCGAACGCCCACTTAATTTGATTGAAGACCATAGTGATGAGTGCAAAACACCAAGCTCTGCATGAAGTGTGGAAGTGGGTTTCCACAAAAAGACCATAGACCACTTGAGTGATATGGTCAAACCCCATCTGGCATTCGAACGCCCCTAAAGCAAAGACAGAAGACACGTTCAAACGTCATACCACGTTAGAACGTCCATAAAGCCAAAATAGAAACAACGTTCGAACGTCAACTTATGTTCGAACGTCATTCACAGATTGCCTACAAAGTTGTTGGTTTTCACTTTTACTGGGTGGCATACACTATTCATCCTCTCTTATCTTCCCCCCTCCCCTTCCTTGCCTATGAATACTCCCATTAGGGGAGCTTCAGGGGGCATTCTTCTTCTATTGTAAAGAATGGAGTGAGAGCTTGGTTAGTACGCTTAGACTACACCAAGAACTAGTAAGAAGTTTGTATGGAGGCTTAGACTCCCACTCATTTTGATTAATCTTAGATGTATGTTATATTTACTTGTATCAAGAGAGTTAGTTCATTTCTTGGTTGAGGAAGCAACCCTCCACTTGTTGGTTGAGGAAGCAACCCTCCATTTGTTGGTTGAGGAAGCCACCCACCAAGTAGTGACTAACTTTCTCCTACTTTCGTTGTTTATGTCTTTCACTTCCATTGCTTGAGCTTCTTTCTTCCTTAGAGGAGTGAAACTCTTCTACTTTTCTAGAGCTTTACCAAAGCCGTGAAGGGTGGAACGTGATTCACTTATTCTTTAGTGAAGATCAGCTCTTTGTTTATTGCACTTTACCTTGTAAGTTCTCTACTTTGAGAGATGAGTATCACTCACTTTTCTAGCTTTACTCAAGCCATTAAGAGTGAGTAGTTCCTCATTCACTCTTTAGTAAGAGGTGATGAACATGTATTGATTGTCTAGAAGCTATACTTGTGTATTTCCTTTATGCTTTAATGCTTTATATTTCACTTGTTCATTGAATGGTTGAATGTATCTAGCGAAGCTAAGGTACTTTATCTAACCATGGGTTCTTTCTATGTCACAGATGACTCTTGCATGGAAAAACCTACTGGTTCAAGGCAAGTACCTAGGCAATATCTGCATGATACATTTCAATCTTCACTATTATCGTGCTTTATCTAAAGAATGGAACATTAATGTCATGGTTGGATGCCTTGTAGAAACACTTGCTTGTTTGTAGATGAATTAAATCTTGGCAAAGGCAATTCTTGTCCACTTCTAGAAAGGCATCGGAATCATATGCTTAATTCTCATAGTCCATCTTTATCTTCTGATTAATTTGTTGTTGACACAGGAGTTAATTGAGTTATAAAACAGAAGTATAATAAACTGGATGGTTAACTTCATATTATGATCCTCAAGCTAAAGGGTGGTTGTTTTACATTTGAATTTATCTTATATTTTGTCTAGAAAACTCTTCAAAAGAGTCATCTATTCTATTCAAGAAATCCCACCACTCCAAACTATCAAAGTTTCCAGTTACTTGGTCTCTATTATTGCTTACTTCAAAACACCAATCATTGTTCCCTATGTATTCGACTCCGAACTTAATTGAATTATTAATACAACTTGACCGCCTGCACTTGGGTGTACACATTTCGGATTAAGTCATGTGTCTACCTTGAACTTAAGCTTTACCCCAGTCTTTATAGGGAGTCTGTTCCCGATTATTTAGGACTACAGAGATTCCAGTTAGACCTTCCTTAATTTGTGTTTGAACCTTATAGGGTTTCCTTTCTCATTAGCTGATTTAGGTCACATATTAATTACATGTTACTATAATTTAGACAATTTTCTTATTGGCTGCCTAGCATCGCCTCTGAATTTTTGGGATAGTCTAGTTATCTACTCAGTCAGATCTTGTCCTTTGCTCGGATGGACCATCTTTAGCTCGACCAGGATGGCCTAGCTAACTACTCGGTCAAATCTATTCCTCAGCTCGATCATACCTACTTTAGCTCAATTAGGATAGCCTAACTACCTGCTCGGTCGAATGTTGTCCTTCACTCAGATGGACCCACTTTAGCTCGATTAGTATGGCCTAGGTACATGCTCGATCAGATACTTTAGCTCAGTCAGGATAACTTAGCTACCTGCTTGATCAAATTTTATCCTTTGCCCAATTGGACCAACTTTAGCTCGGTCAAAATAGCCTAGTTGCCTACTCAGATGAATCTTTTCCTTTGCTCGGTCATAGTAGAGTCATTCCAAATAACTTTTTTCATCATGTGCAAACTGCCGCATATCCAAGTCCAATTCTTAGATGATGATCAGAATTATTGACCCCTTCAAACCTAATTATAATCGTATCAATTAAGATAGAATTTATACCTAATAACTCCATTTTAATCTCTAATGATACCATATTAATACGTATGAAATATAGCTAAGACCTAAACCACAGAGAATAAGTGCAGGACCATAAGGACCTTCGGCAAGTTAAAAGGCCCGACCTCGACCTTTGGTCGGACTTCTAGGTTGGTGAACAAGCTCGACGAATAAGAGTTAATTGAGTACACAGGTCATCCAACTGGATCCTTTTATCCTTCATAGGTTCTTGGAAAAGGAAGGCCACATTATCTTAGCAATAAAGAAGGAGCACTACCCTAGCGATCGTGGAGAAACAAGCTCCTACAATCAAGGAGGAATGCACTCCCAACAATCAAGGAGAGATTTACTCTAACAGTCTAGCAATAACCAGAGAAGATCCCAATTAATAAGGGAAGGCGTTGCCAATATCTTAGACCATCTCCAATCTCTACCCCTTTTTCTAAACCCTTTTTTTAAAAGAGGGTAAAAAACTCTTAAAAGCTTTCTTGAATGTTAAACCTATACTCATACCAAATAAAGGCAAACCTTTTTTTAAACCCAAATCAAGGGACATCCTTTTCCAAACCCAAATCTTTAATAGTGAGATTACACTCTCCTTCAAAGATCCAATGGTTATATTTTACCCTCTTTTAAATTTGGATTCGTCCTCATTTAAATTTGAGCTTCTTTTTCTTTAAAAATTGGTTTGTCCATTGAAGAGGTTTATACAAAATCAAACATTTTACCAATTTGTTTTACTCAAATTTGGGTAAGAGTTTGAATTTCCATCGGAGATGCTCTTATAAGTATCAAAGACATTCACCAAAAGTGGGCAATCTATAACAGACACGTTCCCCACAAGCACTAAGATAATTTCCCCTCCCTGGAGCAAGAGACTCTATTTGAGTAGACTAGCCAACGTTGGCGAACCATGATAAACCTTGTTTGTTTTTTATTGTTAGATCATTATTTACATAGTTTCTTGCTAAGAACTCAAGTCTATTGATTTGAATAATGTATGCACACGTGCAAGTTCTACTTCACGTCTAGCATACACATCATCAATCTCATATCAATTCTTATGATGCACAAATTGGTATTGAGCAAGATCAACAATCGAGTATATGTAAGGGTGTAATTAATGAGCAATAAATAAGCAATCAATGGTAAAATAGTAAATAAAAGCAAACACACAAATATATAGTGGTTCAGTCCGGATGACCTACTCCACTCTCGGGAAATGATAGCAGTGGCTGGAGGTGTTTTATTGATGAGTAAAGTAACAGGGAGAATATACTCCTGGAGTATTATAATACTTTACGAGAGAGAAACTAGGGAGGTGTAGGGAGGACATGAAGTAGCGGTCTTAAGGTGATGTCCTCTATGTGAAGAGGGCTTACATTATATAGGTATGGTGAGGTGGTGATGTGAGGGAGAGGTCTCTACACCTTTGGTATGTACAACTAAGGTTGGATTAGATCTCCTGGATCCTGAGCTGGGTTAGATTGGGTCGGAGTGGCAAAGTGAGGAGGACGCAAGAAAGGCAAGAGATTCCCTTATGGGTAGCGCCCCCTTGGGTTGTGCCAGAGGCTAGGGCGACCCCCATTTAGGCGCTGGTGACTTAAGCCCCTCTTGGTTTATCGGGCCTGGCCTAGTTGATTTTTGGGCTCATCATTTGCCCCCATGCCCTAAGCCTCTAAATTTTTGTGAGAGGAAGGGGTTGAGGGCATATGCTTTTTCTTCATCTTCAGGGACTCTGTTGAGTTTACTGATATCCAGATATTTTTTGCATTTTTTGGCATTGCTCTTGTTGGGTCTTCGTCTATAAATAGAGGTCCCTGGTCTCTTCCTTCTCATTCTTCTTGTCATTTATTATTTCTGGAGGCTTTTCTTAGGAACTATTCAATCAAGGCTTCTTCAAGAAGCTGTTCAACAAGGCTTCTCCAAGAAGCTATTCCCACAAGGCTTCTTCGAGAAACCATCTTTCCTCTATTTAAAGGCCTCTTCAAGAGGTTACTGTTCCTTGCCCATTTCTCTCCCTTAGTCTTCTCTCTTCTAAATCAAAACAAGGCAAATGGAGACTAGGAGTTCCAAGAAGGTGGGTGGCGAGATGACGAAGAGCTCAAGAGAGCTAGTCCAAAGGCCGGGCGGCTCCAATGGCCAAATGGGCAGATCCTATGCCTTGGGAGGAGCGGGGTGTGAGGTAAGCAGTAGAGCAATTGGCCTCGGCAAAGTGCAAAGCGTGGGAGAGCCTAGGGGCGGTCTCAATAATGCTACAGGCGGCGCCCAACTGGGGGTCCATGGTGTGGGCGGCGGCAATGATGCTATGGGCACTGGATCTACTGAGTTAAGTAGGGGCTTTGGCCATTTTGGTGTCAGTGGTGCTGCTTGGAATGGGCGAGATGGAGTGATAGGAGAGGTAGGCGACACCCTTGGTACAAACGGCACCCATGGCGCTGAGCTTGCGGGCGGCGCCCATGGGGCTAGCCATGCAGGCAACTTCCATGTCATTGGGTTGTGTGTCTCAGCTGACGGCGGTAACTCCGGGGAGCATGTAGGCAAGTCTATTGGCATTTAGGTAGCGCCAAGAAGCGGTCAATCAGTGACATGAATAAAATGAGCTCCTGAGATACGTTATTTGGTACTCATTTTTTCTCTTCTATTGGTATGAGTGTTTTCTTTAGCGATGATGTGAAACCCGAGAAAAATTTAAACTTTTGAAAATAAGGGCAAAATGGTAATTTTATCGCTACAGTACGGGTCAAATATCTGAAATTTTTTAGAACTCAGATGATGAAACGGACTTCACCGTTGGATTCGTCTCGCAAAATTTAGTTATCCTATCAAATTTCATTAAATTTCGTGATAGTCAGATTTTTCATATTTTTCGAGATGGTTGAGTCTCGGGTGATCCAAAAATGAGATTTTGGCAAAAATTTTAAATTTTGGGAAATGATTTGAGTTAATTTAAAATAAAATATTTTAAACTTAAATCGAAACGAAATTTAATTGTTTCGGGGTTAAAATGGACCAGGAAAGAATGGGCTGTGTGGCGCATTTTGAGCCAAGGATTTTGGGACTATAAAAAGGGGAAGAAATCAGCCTTCTTCCCCACCATTGTCGGCTAGTCTTCATGGTAAAAGAAAAGAGAGAGTAAGAGAGGGAAAAAGAAAAGAAACTCACCTTCTCTCTACGATCTACGGCGCTACGATGCTCGAATCGACACAAGCCAAGAATTAAAGTCCATCTACGCAACAAGGGCTACGCGTGGGTACCAAAAAGAACGATTTTCACCAAAGATTCAAAGGCAATTTTTTGGGAAATCAAGAACTTGGGGCTTGTTTTGGTGTTTTTGAAGTCTCCACACTTCAAGGAGGTAGGGGGTTTTCCTACCTTGGTTCATTTCCTACCTATAGTGTATGTGAAATGTGTAAGATATATATATATATATATATATATATATATATATATTACTCACCTATGCATGTAAAATAGATAAAATGGGAATGAAAAAGGGTGTAGAAATGGCTTATGTAAATTTCTAGTTGTGTGTGATATGTGGGAATCACTTGTGAAATCCCTTAAAAATTGAATGTGTTAGTAGCATGAGCTATGTATAACATGTGTGTTGTGAATTCTGATTAAATAGCAAATTTTATTTTATGCCTTGAGGAAGTAGGTGTAGAATGGGTTTGATTCAAATCCTACTTTGTTTTGCTATGTGGAAGTACTTGTGTAATTTATTGGATGGAAGTTATATGTGCTTTAATATGTAGTAAAGTGAGTGTGTTTAACTCATACATCAGTGTGTGTGTGTGTGTTTGTTCTTGCTTGTTGGAAAACTAAAGTGAGGGAGATTAAAAGAGAAGGAAGAGAAACCAAGTTTTAGCTCACATTTGATATGTGGAAGCCATTAGTGTAAACTCTTGGAAAATTGGGTTTACATGGATTGTTTTGTGTATTTTAAAATTTTCCTATAGTTGGTTGGATGGAAAAATGGTAGGCATATGGAACTATGTAATTCACTTGCCTATGGTTATGGAGTTGGTGTAGAAAGGATATAATCAATTTCTAGTTTGAAATTGATGGTTTAGTTAAAAAAAAAAGGTATTGAGGATGGGTGACATGACTTCAGATAAATTATCTTGTTGGATACACCATTAATGTATGTTAACTATGGGAAAAGGGTGTCTAACTGTGCTAAATAAATCTTGTAAGAAAGGATTTGCAATGGATATAGAAATTGGGTGAAGAAAAGTCGGTACACTTTTCTGCTCTGGACCAGTTGTCGTAGAATCGTCATCACTTTTGCTCCAACCGTTGGATTGAGCTGAAATGTTGACACAATACAGAATACATTTAGATCTACAACTTTTGTGTTTTGAACCTTTCCATATTTTGAATGGATCATGGTCAAAATGGAGAAACACAGAGGTACTTCCACCAAAGGGAGCTAGTGCGGGTGCCTTTGTTACCAAACACCAATACCTCTTTGATTTCTTAACTTCTAAGCCTCCAAATCCACATGTAATGTGGTAAATAGAAATTACATACTTATGATGTGATTTACAATTGTAATGTTATGTTGATGTATGCTTAACGATATGTTAGCATTACGATGATCATGAAATTTATATGTTAGGATAAAATTGAGCATGGGATATGTTGAAATTGTTCATATGACATTCATTACATATTGAACATGGCAGTAGTTTGAAATGATGCATTACATTACATATGTACGGTGTAAACACATCCATAACCATAAGCATGGGTGTGTGGTTACATGGTTGGTCAATCATCATCCTTGGTGGTTGGTGGTGAGCTCGGGGAAAGTAGGATGGAACATCCTATTGATTCGCACGGTTACATGCATAAGAAAACTTGTGTTGGGTATAGCAAGTAGGGCTAGACACTCCCTCGGGTGAAAAATCCAGCCATTTGGTTCATACACTTACTGGCGGTGAAATTCCATAAAAGTGTAACGGCGTACGGAGCCAGAGGTGCAATTCCTGAATTTGATACCCAATAAAGGCACATGATTTTAATATATAAATTATTCATTTGGTGGGAAACATCTAAGAATGAATTGGTTTTATGACATATGGTTCATTTCAAAATGATCTTTGGATGTGTTTCATCAAAGATGTTTGTTTTATACATATGCGTCGCATTGTGTTGTGGGGGTTGGTGTGGGCTCGGGATAGCATGCATGAGTGAGTTTCGTCTCATTACTTTGCATGGCATTATGAGATTCTATCTTGAATAACATATTCTTATTTGGAATGGAAGAAGTTGTTTGTGGCATGTGCGCATTCCGTACGCATTTTAGATGGGGAGTAGCCTCTGTAGGAGTTTTTCTACTGAGCGTTGGCTCACCCTATACGAAAAACATTTTAGGTGCAGGGTGCGTACCGGCAGAGGACTCTCATTCGGGGCCTCAAGGGTGAAGAGAGGCTGACATGTGGCCTTTGACCATGACTGTTTTGTAAACTTTTGTTCAAACTATGTATTGGCATGTAATATTTGTAAAGGAAATATAATTTTGAACTTGTATTAACAATGTTTAATGCATAAACTCATGATGTGAAAGTATGAATAATTGGACCCGGTGTGGTCAATGTTTTCTTATAATTGGACCCGGTGTGATCAACATTTGTATATGGGATGTCGGATGGGTCATGTGATGGTACGGTTCACAGGTTGTGTTTTGGGTAGAGTTTTCCCATACAAAGAAAACTCTGTCCGATTTTGTTAAATTATGAATCCCAGTAAATGGGACACAACGGTGTGGTATCGAGTTATACGATATCCACAGGCGTTTCACAGGTTGATGTGCGATCAACGGAACCCCCAAATTTTGGGGTGTCATAGCTTGGTATCATAGCATAGGCATACGAATAACCTAGGGCTCGATGGGCACGGGTATAGACCATTGCATTCCATATGCATTTCATGTTATGTGCTCTACTTGCTACATGCTATGTGTTACTTATTATGTGAATTATATGCATGATAGAAATGTATATGGAAAGGAATACACTGGGGTTAGAAAACATAACCTTGGGAGTTTGGAAAAAAAAAAAGGGATGAACGGTATAGTTCAATGAGTGAATGTCTACTAAATACTTGATCCTTAACTTGGGATATTAACTAATTGATCTATTGCTATCTTATGTGTGTGTAGATGGCAACTAGAGGAAGGGAACGTCGGGGTGGACGGAACAACCAACCACCATCACCGGCCTTTGACCAACAAGCCTTCATGGAGGCTATTGGTGCCACGGCGGCTACCATTGCACAAGCTAGTGCTATGGCCACTACTATTATACAGACATGTGCAAGTGGGAGTCAAGGAGGTTCAAGTCACCTCCATAAGTTCAAGGCACATAATCCTCCAATCTTTCTGGAAGGAGCGGATCCTATGGTGGCTGACCATTGGTTCCGACAAGTGGACAAGATCTTAAGGGCTATGGAGATTACCTCTGATGCCACGAAGATAATGCTAGCTACTTTTCAGCTAGAGGGAGAATCCCAAGTGTGGTGGGATTGGGTTAAGGACTCCAAGAACTTGGAGGTAATGACATTGGTAGAATTCAAAGAGCTTTTTATGGGCAAGTACTTCCCAATGGCTGCTTGACATGCAAAGGCTCGGGAGTTCTTAGACTTGAGACAAGGGATGATGACGGTGATGGAGTACATGGCTAAGTTCACAGAGTTAGCCCATTGCACCAATGACTACGTGGCCATAGATATGGCCAAAGTGAGGAAGTTTGAGGATGGTCTTAAGTTGTCCATCCGGAGTAAAATTGTGGGTCTTCTTCTGTAAGACTTAGACTCGACGGTCGCGACTACTATGGCCATTGAGAGAGAGGTGGATGATGCAAGGAGCATCCGCGAGTCTGGTGCAAAAGACAAGAAGAAAGAGGGTCAATCCTCTTCTTCTAGTGCGGGGAAGAAACAACGGACCTCTACTCCGCAAGGATTTTAGGGACAGGGCTGTAGACATCAAGGCTTAGGCCAAGGTCAGTCTTCCCAGGGTGGAAGAAATCGCAGGCCTTCTTATCAAACAGGCCAACGGACTTGCTATCACTTCAACCAACTAGGACACATGAAGAGGGATTGTCCTTAGAGGCAAGAATCCCAGGGTCATGGGTCATCGCAGTCTCAGACTTTAGTGGGGCAACCACAGACGTAGTATGCTCCTCACTACCTTACTATGGGTCAGGGCAACCAGTACCGGTACCAGTTCCAGGGTGCAGCACAAGGCCCTACTACTTTTCGTGCAGGGACACCGCAAGCTGGCCAAATGGGCCAACGCATGGGTCGAGGATGAGGCCAGGGCTCATAAGCCAAGACTTCAGGGACTCAGGGGCGTGTCTATGCCATGATGCCATAGACTGGGCTGGTAGATCCGTCGATGATATTGGTTACATTTTTACTCTCCCACTTATGGGCTAGACTGTTATTTGATTCTGGTGCATCACATTCTTTTATTGATGCACCTTGTGTGAAAGACTTGGGCTTAGAGGTTAAGACTTTGGAAGAGTCGTTGCACGTGAGTTCTCCCCTAGGTGC